TGAGTTGGTTCCAACACAGAGTGACCCTGTATAGGACTTCCGAGGCTTTAAAAATTTGAGGGAGCTGAAATTCTCATCTTTTTCCCTAGAGTGGCTGGTGGGTTTGAACCGCAGACCTTGTAGATACATACAATCCAGCACTTATTGTATGGAGCCACCACACTCCATTTGTTGTTGTTGTTAGGTGCCATTGAGTCAGTTCTGGCTCATAGTGACTGTGTTCCGGGTTTCTACAAAGCAGCTGGTGGATTTGAACTGCTGACCTTGAGGTTTGCAGTCCAGTGCTGATCCTTACAGCGCCATAGCAGGACTCCATAAGCCACTCCTTGAAGACCAAATACAGAACTGACTGGACAACTCTAACAATAACAGTATATAAGGTTGGCAGCACATTGCACATGTATTTTGCCTTCTACTTTTTGTATTTGTTTAAATGGTTAGCTAGGAGCTTTCTTTCTCATAATTAAGAATTTTCTGAAAATATTTTTCCTCATCTATCATCTGCCCCTGAGCAGAGGGTACCCACAGTCTTAATTACACCTTCTTCTCTGAACAGACGCTTGGCTGCCCACCTGTGGACCTCGGACTTTGGGGAAACGGTTTGGGGTGTCCTTGATCTTGGTCTTGCAAGAAGGGCTCCTGGGCCAGGTATGCATCTTACCAGTCTTCCTTTGTTCTCTCCTCTCCCACAGTGCCAGGCTTCCCGTATCCAGCCGCCACCGCAGCTGCAGCCTACCGAGGTGCGCACCTGCGTGGGCGTGGCCGCACGGTGTACAATACCTTCAGGGCCGCGGCGCCTCCGCCCCCCATCCCGGCCTATGGCGGGTAAGTGGACCAGCCTGGCGGGCCCTCCCGCACATGGCTTCCTTTCCAGAGGCACGAGTTGTTTGCGAGCGCATGCTGGTCTTGACGCCCCCTCCCAGGACCGCCCCAGCATGCCGCCCCCTCCGTTCGCCTGGTGTGCAGCACCTTGCAAAGAGTATTGAAAAATGAGTGTAATTTGTCCTGTCGTGGTTGGTGCCTGTAAGCATTCTACGCGTCACATGTTGTTATGTAAATTCTCTCTGAGACTGAATGCTGGAGAAACCGGGAAAGCCAAAAGTTGTATTTCTGATGATTGCAAACATCTGGTTTTAAAGGAGGTTCGATCACATGTGCCCCCTGAATTAGCCCACCAACTGAGGTTTTCAAACGTAAAATCCACTGGGGTAGACTTGCCATCCACCCCAACGACACACTGTACTGAAAGGCTTATGAACCTTTTCCTAAAATGAAAACAAGAGGTGTTATGTCAAATACAGACACCCAAGAGTTCAGTGACGTTGGAAGGAAATTTTCATTTTAGGGGGAGTCTTCTTTCTGTCTTTTTTTTTTTTTTTGCCTTGCTTTCCCCTCTGTGGGGAAAATGCATATTAAGTTATTCCCTCCTATGCCTGAGCCCCCAGAATGGTCAAGTGAACATGAAGATATGTTGATGAATGCCCCCCCAAACCCCTCCAGTTGTGTTCTGTTGCAATCCTGAAACTTCATTCTCTCCACTTTGCTATTCTTATTGATGGCAGTAGAACATTCTGGCATCTTTGGAGTCAGGGAGATGAGCGAAAGAGACAAGTCTGCCAGGTGACTGTGCCCTCAGGGAACACTGGGGATGTTTAGAGGTAATTAGGACTGTCCCAACTGGGGGAGGTATTAATGGGATCTAATGGGTAGAAGCTAAGGAGCTCTGGTAGCATAGTGGTTACAAATCAGGCTGCTAACCTCAGGGTCAGCAGTTCAAAACTATCATCTGTTCTGTGAGAGAAAGATGAGACTTTCTGCTCCCGTAAAGATTTACAGCCTTGGAAACTCTGTACAGAGTCACTGTAAGTTAGAACTGACTCCACAGCACATAACAACAACAACAACAATTGGTAGAGGCTAGGAATACTGCCTACAACAAAACATAATCCAGACCCCAATCATTGTCCAAAGTGTAGAGGGCAAGAAGTCTAGAACCAAGGGACATCAGCTATGCATGTCCAACGTGGTCTGGTACAAATTCTTCTGGCCAGTGATAGGACATCTGGTTGACAGAAGGATCATGGCCATTGTTGTTGTTGTTGTATACCATCGAGTTGGTACGGACTCATAGCAACTCATAGCATAACAGAACGAAATGCTACCCGATCCTGGGCCAACCTCACAATCGTTGCTACATTTAAGCCCGTTGATGGTGCCACTGTGCCAATCCATTTCGCTGGGGATCTTCCTATTTTTCTCAGACCCTCCACCTTACCAAACATGATATCCTTCTCACTAATGTGGAGGATATCAATGTTTATGCATTCCATTTAATTTTTGACAATTTCCAATTTCCCTAGATTCATACTTTGTACGTTCATTGTTCTGATTATTAATGAATGTTTACAGTGGTTTCTCTTAGTTTTGAACTGCACCCCATCATCAATCGAAGGTCCCAAGGGCTTTAATCCATTCACTGCATCACAGTCAGCTCTACTTTGAGGAGGCAGCTCTTCCTCAGCCTCATTTTGAGTGCCTTCCAACCTGTATCTTCCAGCACTACATCTGACAGTCTTCTTCTGTTATGTGTAAGGCTTTCAGTGCCTAAATATTTGGAAGTAGTCCTTCTCTCCGTTTTCCTAGTCTTTGTCTAGAAGCTGAAACCTGTCTACCGGGGTGACCCTGCAGGTATTAAAGTTCCTGTGACATAGCTTCCAGAATCACAGCAACACACAAGCCACCACAACATTGCAAAGAAGCTAAAGATGTAGTCTTTTTTCTTCCTTTATTTCTTTTTCCTACTTTCTTTCTCTCATCTCTCTCTCTCTCACTCTTTTGCTTTATTTCTTATAAACCTTTTAGAAAGCCTGAATTTCCCTAGCTCACCTCTACAATATACAGATGACAGGAAGGAACACTTTTTCCATTATTAATTCATAATTGCCTGATTCCAAAAGGATGAGATCAAGGTGTTTCGAAATGCCTACAGTAAAGCCAAGTGAAGGGTATAGAGAGGTGGAGCTAGAGGAAATCATTAGAAAGAGGAAATGAAGACCAGGAAATAAGATGGCATCCACTGGGTTCCTGTGTAGAGCTGGAGTCATCTCTGAGCTGCTTAGTAAATGGAGAAACAGCAGAATATTTTTAACTGAAAACTTAGTGGATAATGGCAAACCAAGGAGAAACTAAATGCCCTGAATGCCCCCTCCCCCACCCCTAAATGCATAAGCATTACGTGTCTCATCTTGTAATCTAAGGGTCATGTTGTTGTTGTTGTTAGGTACCATCAAGTCCGTTCTGACTCATAGCAACCCTAGGTACAACAGAACAAAACACTGCACCATCCCCAAAATTGTCGTGTTTGAGTTCATTGCTGCTGCCACCGTGTCAGTCTGTCTCGTTGGAGGTCTTCTTTTCCACTCTCCCTCCACTTTACCCAGCATGATGTCTTTCTCCAAAGACTGGTCCTTCCTGATCACATGTCTAAAGTATGAGAAATGAAGTCTGGCCATCCTGGCTTCTAAGGAGCATTCTGGCTGTACTTCTTCCAACAACGTTTAGTGGCAGACAGTCATTACCCCTGGTGACTGCACATAATACCCATTTTATAGATCATGAAATGTAGACATAAAAATCAGTTCTTTCCAAGTCCATATAATGGGTTATGGAGGGGAAAAAGAAATGACAAGTTACCTTCTAGGCTCATGTAATTTTACAAAAGGAAGATTCATAAGTCATAAATACAAAGTGCATGTTCATACTACATTCTTTGGACTGTACACCTCTAGCTCAGTATATGAAGGGTGGGGAATGTGGCCCTGGGGCTGGATGTTGTTGTTGTTGAGTGCCGTCAAGTCGATTCCAGTCCATAGCGACCCTGTATAGGGTTTCCAAGGAGCAGCTGGTGAGCTTGAACCTCCAACCTTGCAGTTCAAATGGCTTTGCAGTCTAGTGCATTAACCCATAGTGCCACACTAGGACTCCCTGGGGCTATATAAGGCCCTCAAAATCGCTTGGTCTGACCCTGCCAGGGCAACCCGAGTTCCAGCCATCACATTGTTGTTGTTGTTGTTGTTGCATGCCATCAAGTTGGTTCCAACTCATAGTGACCCTGTGTAGGGTTTCTGAGGAGCACCTGGTGAGTTTGAACTGCTGACCTTTCAGTTCAAACCAACTTTGTGGTCAAGTGCTTATCCTACGGCACTAGACCATTAGGGCTGAATTAATTATGTGTTTGACCATATATAGCAGGCTAATTGTTAAGTTGATAGTTTTGCATGGCCCACAAGGGATGCTATAATTTTGGCAGAAGAAATGTTCCCCATCCCTGTGATAGATGGAAATTGTATCTTTTCAGTATATGTGGCCTCAGTATCTCACGGCTATATTCAATAGAAGAAATAAAGCAAAGCTATAAGGCTTATCCTCACACAGGCGATTGGTAAAACTCCCAGAATAACACACCTGCTGCACCATAGGAATGTTCTAAATAGAATGGAGGTGCTCTTTGCTGGGAATCGCCATGCATATGGTTGGATCCTGTACCAGGAAAGAATCAGACATCTCCACATGGTGAAACAATACGTTGCCTTGAATGTGATTTAATCTTAGCATTCTAGCAATACCTCCAGTTTGTTGGTTGTAATAGCAGATTGTGTCTTCGTTGATAATAGTATGACAGCAATGTGGAGACCATGCTTAGGAATAAGGTGCAATTCTTAAGAAAGGGACAGCATAAAGAACAGAAGGGCATGATGGGTAGGATGTACCCAACTAGCCGTAAGAAACAAGTACCACTCAACAGAAGGAAATTCAGCCAGTTACCTAAGTGTTTGTTGGGTGCCTTGGTATCCCATGAAAATATGTGAACACAACATCATGAAGAAAGACTTCCCTCTTCACTTGGATTGTTTGCTGTGGGTATCAGCTCTGACCTTCTGGTCATAGTTCTTTGAATACCTTTGGTCAAGATGCTGTGCATTTCATCAGGGGACTCAACAACTTCTGTACAACTTCCCAGCGTTACCTCAAGAGCTGTTTGGAGTAGGCTCTGTGCTGATTGTGTTAAACGAGAGATAGGGTAGGATCACACGAGAAAATCTTTGACTTGGTCAGTATACGAGAGGATACTACAGATGGATCCTTTGGGACGGTTCTTCAGGGTTGGCCTCCAGCAAAGCCTCAGGCAGAACCTCTGAATCTGAGTCCATATCTCCAAATATATAGAAGCGGGCTTCAAAAC